TGCCAATCCTTCGAAGGCCGTCCACATCATGAAATTTTCCAGCCACTCACACGAGGACCCAAATAAATATTTGGACGAACTCGACAGTTATCTGATTCTACATGGAATAAAGCTGACTGCCACCGACCGCAGGTGTACAGCTTTGCACCTTTATTTGAGCGGACCAGCGCTCTCCTTGTATCAACGCCTTGTAGACAATGTCAAGTATAACTGGCAAGCATTACTGAATGTTTTTTTCAAAGATACAACGACCTAGAGAGGACATATAGTGCAGATATCGAGAAATTTCACTCCCTTGCCCTTAAACATGCCCAACGCATTTAGAATTTTTACTCAATAGTGCTGACTTCAGAAGCTCGTTTACAACTTGCAGATCGTGACATCATGTACAGATATATTGCGGGCTTATCGGAAAGCCTGGGATTTTTTGTTCGTGCTGGGGGACCAGTTGACCATACCCAAGCTTAAGAGACAGCGTTATCTGGCGCAGCGTGTGGATATAGAGACATCCCTAGTGCGCCATTACCTACCGGTACACCTGAAGTTCCAACAATTTCTGGAGCCTACGCTCAGCCATCAGTTATTCTTCTGATGGAGAAGATCAACAAACTTGCAGCTGACGTCGAACATCTACGTACGTATGGTTCGACTGTACGCCAGGCAGACCCAATCAGCCGCGACCAGGAAGAACGGCTTTGGACATCCGGTGCTATCGGTCATGAATCCAGTGAGGCATTACTATATGGAGTTTTTTTTCTACAACTGCAAGCTATCTGGATTATGAGTAGAGATGAGCATCACGACCTAGATATTTCTCAGTTTGAAGTAGGCGAGAACGACACTGGCAAGTTCATACAGTTCGTGGGACGTGCAAACAAAACATTTACAGGTGGGTTAAAGCATCGTAATGTTGCCTACAATAACATTAAACATTATGTTACTACCGAGGATATTGACCAAAATCTTGTCCATTTGTACACTTCTTACATTGGCCTAATTGATGACAAAGATAGACAATTTTACAAACGCCCTATTCCTGGAACTCTCAAATTTTCCAAGCAAAAAAAAGTTGTGAATAGGTTTGAAAACTTGATGAAAGAAATGTGCAACAAGGCAGGATTAGAGGGAAATTTCACGAATCGGTCGGGAAAAAGAACATGTGTAACCCAGTTGTACCAGAGCGATTTAGACGAGCAGCAAATCATGAGCAGGACCGGACATAGAAGTTTAAACGGAGTGCGAAAATACAAGCGTGCGTCTAACGACCAGCTGAGAGATTTTCAAATATTCTCGAACTACCTTGTTCCAAAAAAGTGAAAATTGTTGAAGATTCGTCTTTGTGTGTACAAAATGCTACATGCAGTTCCGGTAAAAAAAATTATAATACGGATGTGAAACCGAGCTTGCCAAGTCGACCAAATTCCGGTGTTGATTTGAAATGTAATTTGGGTCCTACAGAAACGTCAGCAACAGAAATTCTGAACCAATTGAAAAGTGGATTTAGTGAGTGTAGTTTCACTTTTAACTTTGGAAATTAATTACAATGTTCAAACATTCTTAGATTTGTTTGAAGTGTAAACAAATTCAAATAAATTTGTTTCTCGTGCTTTATTGAATTGTGAAATTTTGAATTAATAAAGAAACCCTGTTTTGCTTTATTTTTACGGCATGGGTAATTCAAAAGAAATTGTACCATGCAAGCCATGGTATAACTGCAACAATGTGAAATTATACCATGGTGTCTGGGGATTTATACAAGAATGCCTATAACATGGGGGCAATGGAAGTATATTAGGTTAACACTACATAAAGAATCCATATACAGCTGGCCACTGCTTGGTGGCCTATAGATTGATCCTATGACCAGGGGCTTCTTTTAAGTTTTGGACCTGGAAGCAAGCTACCACTATTTCAAAATCGTGTTGAGCTGTATTTCTGTACCCTGTATATTAGAGCGAGCTATGATGGCAACTCCACTATGGGGGTCTGATGGTCTATCCCTCCTGGCTATAGAACTTGGTATGGTGAATATGGTGGTAGGACTTCACAATCATATATATCTGATCCAAGCTATTTCTCTTGAACTGGGTCAGTTTGCTCTAACATGTGATGGAATAATTCCTTTTTAGCTCTGATTATTTGTAGATTTACTGATATGACCGAGTTTGCATTTGGAATATGAGTTATTTCTTTGGTGAAGATGTAAATTATGGAGGGCCATATCTGTGTTTGTTGATATCGAGTCCCATGTTGTTGATAGGTTAGAGTAGAACAATGATTCTGATTGGTGTGGTAATAAATCATCAAACAGACTTGAGTTAAAATTTGGAAGGCCGCAGGAGAAGCAGTTCCTGTAATGTTATTGTAATACGAATATGTAAATGTACGAACTGAATGATGTACGAGTTACTTTTATGTGTGTCGTTGAAGAAACGTTTTCCTGTTTTGTACACACGTGTTGTCAGTTCTGAATCCGCATATCCAGCCAGTGAACCCACATTTTAAAACTAATACAAAACGATACATGGTGTCAGAAGTGGCGGATAGTTCCACCTTCACAAGTAATACACGGCTATCACGGAATTATGCGGCATTCCCCCACCGACCATGGACTGGTCTAGTTCGAATTTGCCCGAAGCCTGGAAAAAGTTTGAACAACATGTGCTTTTCGCAGGCCCATTGAAAGAAAAGAATGAAGAAGAACAAGTCTCATACCTTCTATTGTGGATTGGCGAGAAAGGTCGTGATATTTATAACACTTTCCCAGCATTTTCGAACGACGACATGAAAAAACTACAACCACACTATGATAGATTCCTCAGGTACTTTCAACCCAAGTTAAACCCAATCTTCGCCAGATACAAGTTTAACAATGAAGTACAGGGAACAAACACGTTTGATCAGTTTGTGACTAAACTAAAACTATTAGCAAGAGACTGCAACTTTCAAGACACAGAGGAAATGATAAGAGACAGGGTTGTGTTTGGGATACAATCAGAAAAAAATCGGGAAAAACTTATGAACGTTGGCGAGGCACTCACCCTGGATAAGGCTGTACAGATAGCTCAGGCATACGAGTACTCTCAGGAACAGCTCAAACTCATGGGACAGCAATCGGTACACGTACAAGCATTGTCCAAGTCTACATCCCATGCACACTCACCTGCAGAGAGGAGTGGTAGGAGACCACCCCACCAGTCAAAGATGCGATCCACTCCGCCAAAGTTTCCATCTACTCCGAAGACGAAGCCATGCGGAAAGCGACATGGAACTCAGGATACTTGTCAGGCACAAGGTCAGAGGTGCAACAACTGCCACAAGTGGAACCACTTCGCCAGTGTGTGTCGTTCGCGATCCGTAAATGACATTAACCATGTGAACTCGAGTGACTGTTTGCAGAAGCCCAGTGAAATGAACAATGTTAATCGTGAAAGTGACAATACACAGAGATCTGTTGACATTAATCATGATTCATGTAATGTGTTTGGCAATTTTGTTCATGAGTCAGATTCAGATTTTAATATTGACAATGTTGATGGCAATGTTGAGCATGATCAAGCATTTATTAACATTAAGCTAGGCCCAAACCACAAAGAGGTTAGGTTCAAAGTAGATACAGGGTCTCAAGTCAATATTCTGCCCGAATCTTTGTACATTGATTTAGCTCCCTATCACACATTAGGCAAATCTTAGATCAAGCTATTTGCTTATAATGGCCACTCTGTACACCCCATAGGCTATTCTGTTATTCAAAGCAACCTCAAGGGTAAGGATTATAGCATAGAGTATCAGGTCGTACAGACGCATTCGCATCCAATTCTAGGTTTACGAGCATGCTTAGATTTAGGCATAGTTCACTGCACTTACTCTATTGATAAGGTTATGCCCTTCAGTAAGAGTCATGTACTTAGTCAGTACTCAGATGTATTTCACGGCATAGGTCTGTTTGCAGGAGAATGTACTTTTCAGGTTGATCCAAATGTTAGACCGGTTGTCAACCCCCCGCGCAAGGTGCCTGTAGCCCTACGCGACAAGCTAAAAGTAGAGTTAGACAGAATTGAGTCAGCGTAAATCATCACCAAGGTAACAGAACCAACAGAATGGGTGAACTCATTAGTCGTTACTACAAAGCCAGCATCAGGAAAGCTTAGAGTATGTTTGGATCCCATGGAACTCAACAAAGCCATTATGAGACCACACTACCCTATGAGGACCTTGGATGATATCCTTCCTCAAGTCTCAGGTGCCAAGTAATTTTCCAAGTTAGATGCCAGCTCTGGTTACCGGACTGTTAGACTTTCACGTGAATCATCACTGCTCACTACATTCAATACTCCATTCGGGAGATATCGATACCTGCGTTTACCATTTGGCTTGAAGAACTCGCAAAACATCTTCCAGCAGAAGATAGACCAATGCTTCGAAGGAATGTCCGGAGTTGCTGCCATTGTTGATGACATATTGGTTTACGGCAGGACCCCACAGGAGCACAATGACAACCTCATCTAGGTGTTAGATAAATGCAGGAGTGTGGGCATCAAGATGAACAAGGAGAAGTTACAAGTGGGAGTTCAGGAAGTTGAGTTTTTTGGCCACATCCTCTCAGCAGATGGATTGAAGCCAGATCCCTCTAAGATAGCTGCTATTAAGGATATGGAGCCTCCTTCCAATAAGTCAGAAGTTCAGACTATCATGGGTATGATCACTTACCTTTCAAAGTTCGCACCAAATCTTGCTAACGTCACCAGCCCGTTACTTCAGCTGCTGCTGAAAGACACGGAATTTATATGGGATACACCACAGGCCCTGGCATTCCAGAAGGTCAAGGACCTTATAACCAGAACACCTGGACCTCTGCTTACATATTTTGACCCGGGAAAACCAGTAGTGTTGGAGACTGACGTATCTAAGTTTGGGCTCGGAGGGATGAGTTGACAGAGATAGATGGCATTATATGTAAGGGTCACAAGATAATCATACCAAGAGACTTAAGACGCCAGATGATGGAAGCTGTACATGTAGGTCACATGGGTGTGGAAAAATGTTTGAGGAGAGCTAGAGACATTATATTTTGGCCCAGGATGTCAGCAGACATCACGAACATGGTTCTGGAATGTGGAGTTTGCTTAGAGAGAAGAAACTCGAACCCCAAGGAGCCACTGATCAGTCATGATATTCCAGACTACCCATGGGAGACCATAGCTACAGATTTGTTTACATGGAACAACCAGGAGTACCTCTTAGTAGTTGATTACTACAGTAGATACTTTGAAGTAGAGAAACTACACAAGACAACCAGTCAAGCTGTTATAGAGAAAATGAAGAAGATGTTTAGTAGACTTGGTATTCCACGGAAAGTCGTATCGGATAATGGTCCGCAATACGCAAGCCAAGATTTCTCCACATTTGCTCAGGATTATGACTTTAACCATGTCACTTCCAGTCCAAAGTATCCACAGTCCAATGGACTAGCGGAGAAGACAGTACAGATTGCAAAAAGAATTTTGGACAAGAGCAAGGCAGATAGGGAAGATTTAAACCTGGGACTACTAGAATACAGGACAACGCCTTTGAGCTTAGGCTACTCGCCCGCCCAACTATAGATGAGTCCCAAGTTAAGGTCCATACTTCCAGTAGTTCCAGATGAGCTGAAACCAAAGGTGCCAGTCAGGGTCAAGGAATTGATGGTAGCAGAGAGAAAGAAACAGAAAGGATACTATGATCGCAGTGCTAAGCCTTTACCACTGCTTTCAGTAGGAGACAGTATAAGGTACCATGAAGGGAAACTATGGAAACAAGGAATAGTCACCAAAGAAGGAGACAGCTCGTACACGGTTAAATGCAGTGAGGGAGTAGTATACCGGAGAAACAGACGACACCTGATGAAGTCAAAAGAAAAGCTCGAGCCTGACGTATCAGATTCCAATATCGTCAATTTTGAAATCGGACCAAAAGTGTAGGTAGAGTAGCATTTTGAAAGAAATTCACAGAAATTTCTATTTTTAGTAACAACGGCAACACTGCTCATGGAATCAAAAACAGATGCACAGAATTATGTATCTTAGTGTAGTCTACTTGTGTGCCTAGTTATATTGAAATCGGATCAGAACTGTATTTGGAGTAGCGTTATGAAAGAATTTCACAGAAATTTCTATTTTTAGTAAACATGGCAACACCGTTCATCGAAATCGAAAACTGATGCACAGAATTATGTATCTTAGTGTAGTCTACTTGTGTGCCAAGTTATAATGAAATCGGACCAAAACTGTAGGAGGAGAAGCATTTTGAAAGAATTTCACAGAAATTTCTATTTTTAGTAACAACGGCAACACTGCTCATCGAAATCAAAAACTGATGCACGGAATGATGTATCTTACTGTAGTCTACTGGTGTGCCAAGTTATATTGAAATCGGACCAAAACTGTACGAGGAGTAGCATTTTGAAAGAATTTCACAGAAATTTATATTTTTTGTAACCATGACAACACCGTTCATCGAAATCAAAAACCGATGCACAAAATTATGTGTCTTAGTGTAGTCTGCTTGTGTACAAAATTATATTGAAATTGGTCCAAAACTGTAGGAGGAGTAGCATTTTGAAAAATTGTTAACAGACAGACGGACGGACGATGGACGCATTACTATCGCATAAAAATGCAGGTATATTAATAAACTTCTGACGTCATGACCTCAGGATAGCTCTCGCTTGGCGAAAAAATGTGTAAAGTAACCGAATGACTGCTCTATTCAATACATATTTCTAATTCTATGCTTAATTTTTGCTTGAAATGCACCTTGATGCATATCATAGACATTAAACCTTTATTCATTTCTATACCCATAATGTATGACAAACATGTGAACTGTTTTTATTTGTATCATTGAAAGAGGGGCATTTAAATTTCCTACATATGCTACATTTTAGCCATTTGACCTTCCCCCATTAAATGTGACCCGAATCCTATGATGATCAATATTTTCCAAGTGTTTTTGATGGTATAACTGCTCTCGCCCCAACGGGCACACCGTAAAATATATTAAAGTATTACTTTCACGACTTTAATAAACACAATATTCATAAATGCGAAAATTATTTTGATATTTTATTTACTTCAGTTTATAACTAATCGACCAGTAATAACGGATTTAATAATTTTTAAAGTTGCCAACTCGAAGTTAACATGAACGAACGGAAGAGATATTACGATTGTAATGTATGTTAACTGTTCGTTAACTATTTCGAAAGAGACTAGAGTTAACCCTAATCCAGGTGCTAATAAATTGTTCGCTAAGCTTATACCTAACACAGAACTGCTCACCCTTCTGTTTTTTGGGGGGAGGGGGGTAATTCTTTCGCTTTTGTTTCTAATTTAAGTTGTTACGCAAGTGTGATCAATTCTGCGCTGTATGTGTCAGACTCCACAATTATGGCCTACTTACAAGTTTAAGTGTAATATCGGTTTGCTTTGTCGAAATCGTCAACACATTTGTAAAAGGGAACGTTTGTTTTTATCGTGCAAATTATTAATGCTCCTTTGAATCACACACTGCAACACTGTAATCCACAGCACTTGTAAATCCTAAAATATAAATCCCAATGTATCGATTTGATTAAGTAATCCTTGTATAAAACCTTTACCGCTCTTTAATAATAAAAGCAATTCTATTAAAACCAATTCTATTCTACTATTTATTTACAGTTGAAAAGAAAAGAAAAGTTATGAAAAATAATTCAACCCAACTTTTTTTATTCTCCTTACTTACCTAAAAGTTTCTTATTAAAGTTATATGTAATTATTAAACAATGACATGTTTTAAAAACCAATTAGCTTGGATTACGTGAAATCTCCGGAGATAAAATTCAATAAAGATCAAGAGACGAAAATTAAACACAGAAAATAATTTGAAAAACTCAAAAAATAGAAAGAGTTGTTTTCAGAAGAAAAAAAAATTGGAAAAATTAGCTTAATCATAAAAACTAGAAAAATATTCCATTACAATTAAACTTCATCGTGATAACATGTCCTCAACAAATTTTTCAATTAAAATTTGTATATGACAATTGCTTAATGTGTATCACTTCCTAACTTCTGTATATTCACAGTGGGGTGCTGTCTAGGTGGAGTTTGTTAGCCAGCCTCTTTATTAATTCGCAGTATATATCTGTCATTGAGGAGATGACCATTATAAATAGGGTTGAATTGGTTAATTGCTCTGTAGACTTGTTGATTATTTTTAAAATGTCGGAGGCTCAGTTAAGATGGGCTATACAGGTTTTGGTAATTAAACATTTATTATAGTTTAGTTAGGATTTACCAAGTCACACCTGATATTTCACCGAAATCTTACACACCAAGGGCTTTCGGAGAAATTATTTGTGGTAGCCTAAATTATTAAACGGCTATTAACTTCTCTTATTCCTTGATTTTAATATCAGCACCGATTTTTTACCGAAATTTAACAAGTTGTTGTGTATTCGTGACTTGGTTAATCTTGGTAAACACCGAGTCGCACCGATATATTTACCAAGGTGTAGCACTAGTGATTGCTTAAAATAGTACTAGGGATTTGTAATAAATATATAGGTATTCATTGATAATTGCTAAATTATCTTTAAGCGTAATAACATCAAAAGGGCGATAATCTGGCTGTCAATTAATTTAAGGTTTTACTCAAGTGTCAAAACTTTTTATCTATTTATCCTCAAATGTCATTTTTACACATGTCACATTTGAATCGTTATATATACTGTTTATTTTGAATTGAATAATCAGTCTGAATCTGACAGCCGTCCCGAGAACACTGACCCGTATCAAAATTTGTTAGATCCATGTTGAAAGTTAAAACGCTGGTCTGAGTTTATCTTAAATCTGTCTAATAAGACTCATAGCTGGCAAAGGAACGTAAATCGTGGCTGACAGAATCTGAGGTAGAATCCTCAGGGAAGCTGACAGAGTCTTCGGGCAGGATCGTCAGGGAACTCAAAAAAGTTCTTCAAGCGGGCAATAAGCCGTTCACGTTTTCTACTTGGGGTCTTAATCTAGCACGGCCCGAGTGATGATCGGGTTGGTTTACATTAAAATGTGCTTATTGGTGCAGATGTCCGGGTACAACGCCACCTCTCATGAAGCTAAGCGAGTATTCGCCAAATTTCGAAGTTACCGAGTAGAATGACCAGCTTTTACATTTGCATGTAGTTCCGACCACAATGACAGGTTTCAGCGCCGCATTGCAGCAGATGTAACAAACGGCATTACACCGTCTGCAACGCCATGAAGAAGCGCTGTGGTAGATGTGGAAAACGGACATTTCAGCAGAGTGTGCGGAGAACCTTCATCCCGCGCTGTAAAATTAGATGCTTAGAGGAAAAGAGACACCGAACGTCTACAAGACTACATCAGCAGGAAAAGATTGTGTCCAGGTGCTACCGTTTGCAAGCATAAGCGATTCAAAATTTAAAGAATGTTTTAATTTAAGATCAGTGTATTCAGCGGAAGTCCAATCTGTGATAAAAGGTCTCCAGTATTCAACAGCGTTAAAGAAAATGGATAGTAAACTCCTAGAATGGAAATTACAGGAGAAGTCAAAGGCCATCGATGAAAAAGACCAAAAGATAAAACTGTATTCAACATACTATGCCATGTCGCATCTAAAAAAAACTTTCAGGACGTGTTTCCCATATCAACTGGCTTCTTAAAAAATTTGAAATGGAAAATATCGTACTGCGTTCCATCAAACAGAACTGTGTGTGTAACCGAGATGCTAAAAACAGTAAACTTGCCCGAGAGGAGTATAGACAATTTAAACATTTTGAAATGTACAAAGAAATTCTGAACACTAAATGTTGAATGTTTTTGCCTTAGCAATATGTTAAATTTTGTACTGTTACAGACGTGTAATCTTTTTTTAAAGCTTGAGGACAAACTTTTTGTGGCAATGGGAGAATTGTCTTATACAAATTTAAATTGAAAAATAAAAAAAAGAATGTCTTAACAGGACCGTGATTTGAACTTTATTTTGGGTGAATGACGTAGCAAGGCCAATTTCGTTTTCTGTATGAGTGTCTTTCGCCCACGGACAGGCGCGAGTCCCTATTTTTCAAAATAAGGATTTGTTACCGCCTTAGTATTATCTAGTAAACGCTTGTGACATACTCCTAGCAAAATGACCCTTTTTTGCAATACATTCAATTAGAATTTCTAACTTTATTAAAACATGAATCACCCCCAAAGTTGAAGCACACATAGTCCTTGGAAGGCGTTCTAAAAGATGTGGCCCACGTTTCTGTTGTTCCTGCTAGGGTTGGAATTGCGACAGTTTATTGTCTATTACGGCAGCCATGTCCAAAACCACGTCTTCAGGTCCAGATGTGAAAACGTCTGTTATGGCGACAGGCTATGCAGTCGTTCGATTTGGCGTCACTGCAGTTTCTGCCATCCGCGCGCTTTTCCATAGATCTTCCATGGTCTGCGGATCCTGGGGAAACACAATAGACCTCCAATCCTGTCGAAGTCCTTCCATAGCCAGGAATGTTATGAAGAACTCCTCCATCGTTGAGTCTTCTGCTAGCTTTCTCACAAGGTATATATATTTTTCGACCGTTTCCTCTGGGAACTGCTGTATTTGTAATGTTCCCTTTTCACCGGAGCTCTGGATTTAAATCTTTTGTAGATTGCTTCTTCTACTGTCTTTATGATGTTTTACATGCTGAGTAAAGATGCATAAACCACTGGTGCGCTGTAGAAGTCCGATAAAAAGGAAGCATATAAATTGCCTTTCCCCCGGAAAGGCCATTGGGGGGAGGGGAGGCCATGTAACGACACGAATATGAGAAATGTTGTCCACCATTCTGTGATGGATCCAGTTCCATCAAACTTCTCCAGAAGTGGAACTGTTATTCTCGGCTTGCTGCTGTGGGTGGACTGTGTGTGGTGGGAGGAGGAGGTGTCTGTCTGAGAGGCCGCCTGTTCGGGATTACTCTGTACAGCACTTACTTCTTTCTCCTGGAGCGTCTCTTGCAATATGCGATTCTGTTGCTCTGGTTGTTAAACCCTCCTTCTCATTCTTTGGATTTCCTCCTCATCGTCGTTTTGTTTCTGTTGCAGGCGGGCGCATGTCTCCTTCAGTTCTTGGTTGTGGGAGGTGCCATTTTCGATCTATTCTCCACCAGTAGTCGTCTCTAACTTTGTATATTTGTATATTTATTTAATGAGAGGTTGATTATTCTCGTTGGGGTGAAACAGAATTCTTCCTTTTCCCTGTTGACGACTTCAACACTCAGCAAAATACCTTAAAGGTGTTTGCTGAGCGGAATAATCTAAATAAAAGAGAGAGCAAATTAAAGTTACGTCCGATTTTTTGGCAATCAGGAATAGAAATCATGTATACAAAAATAATGCAAGTTAACAATTACTTAATGTTACACAGGCAAAAGTGGCTCGCATGAACTTCGTATGAAATTCGCATGAATATCGTGCGAATTCTTCGCATGAAAAGGAGACGAAAAGGACCACACATGATATTCGCATGAAAATATCATGCGATTTTGACATGAAATTCGCACGAATATCATCCGAATAAAAATTAGCACGAAATTCATACGAATATTGTTGCCGCTTTCTTTACAGATTTTCATATGAATTTCATGCGAATTTCATGTAAATATGATGATATATTCATATCAAATCCATGTGATGTAATTTATATATTTTTCCTAGTATACTGGACTTTCAATTCTTTTAATCCATTTGATGAAAAGTATTAGGAAATTCTAATACTTAGATCTGTATATGAATTTGTACAACTAATCATCGTTTCACTGTTACTGTATTCAAAAAAATGCAATAAGTACAATCTCAAAATCTGATCCAGCAAATGACTTAATGAGCTTTATCTAAATCTTAATTTGAAACTGCTTAATTTTAACACATGCAGATTTTGAGGAAGCACCACTATGATTATCCAAGTTATTCTTTTGATGAACAAACAACTGGACACGTCATTCTGTTTCTTAATTTTCTTTATTGAATGCTTCAATTCTTTTTAACATTCTCTGCTCAAGGGCCACCCATCTGTCTGGAGATTGTTTCATCTGCAAGAGAAAATAATTGTAATGAATACTGGGTACCGGTAAATGAAATACAGTCATGAATTTTACAACTGCATTTCCAAAGTCAATATTTCCCTACTTATCAAGATAACATAAAATATGAACAAAAGTAGATATAGCAATCTCATATCACCCCTAAGTTCAATTTGGTAAAAGGTTGAATTTATATTACCTACATTGTAAATGATCTTTAAAAAATTAAAAAACATACATCATAAATTATAATGATTTCAAAATCATACATCATAAATCATAATTAAAAGTATAATTATAATGTTTCTTAAGTATAAAATTATTGACAAAAAATGAAAACAATTTTCCTGCAAATGACTTTAAACTTAAAAACAATCTTGTGTCAGGTATCAATTAAACCTTATAATTGTCTCTGTTTCATTGACCTATATCTGATGATGCAATTTGTATCTGTTGCAAGGGAATTTAAAAGCAAAATTTACCTACCATTGCATCTATGTTCCTTCTGAACACACGCCAGAAATCTGTGGCTGTGGTAGCTGGATTTTTTCCTGAACAATTTGAGTCCATCAGCGAAAGATCTCTGTAAAGCAAAGAACAGAAATAAATCTAAAAATATTATTAAGACTAGTCATGAATTTTATATCTTCAAAGTTCAACTTTTTAAAGGAATAAGTTTGAATCTGTTTTGCTATTTAAGCAGTCATGGAAATAGCATGCACTAATTTTGCCTCTGCTATCAAAGATTGTTGCAGGGCTCAACATTAAGGCACGTCCGACCGACTCAGACTAGTAAAAGTCAGGTCGGGTCTAGTTTATTTTGTTTCATGGTAGCCCGACTGGTCGTGTAAAAATGTTTCAACCAAAGTTCAAATGAAGCAAAACTTATAACAAATTTAGAGATTTCTCTTGTTTATTGATGTGTCTAATCAGGTTTCACTTTCATTTTTGATCCCAACTAAAAATCATGAACTTTAAAAAATTACGTTTGTTTCCTGAATTGCTGTAAATGTAGCCGGTGGATTTTTTTCTGCCAAATCTGTGTTTGATCAATTAGCTGATACAATACTTGAAATATAATATATGTCAACCTAGTCAACATTCACTTTAAATATAAAAAGTAATGATATTTAGCAACCCCCCACAGCTTTTGGAACTTCGTTGTCTACCGCAAGACAGCCATGATGGGTGTCCACTGTAAATATCAAACCTGGTTAGTTCAGTCCGGGATGTTTGACCACTTTATTTAGGCATTATGGAAACTGAAAGTAAAAGTTTTAAACTGGGAATTTTATTATGTCAATTTATGAGATCGTATTAAGCCCAAGCCCCCTAGAAAAAAAAATCTACCGACCATCCCTTGTTTTTAGGGTAATATTACCAACATATTACAGGAAACAAACATTTTTTATTCCATTATAGTATTATAATGCATATCAATATTTCATAAATTGTACTGTCATTTTACTCTCTCTCAAATGATAACTCTACCAAGATTTTTCCTTCCTGCTAGGTCATTAACAACAACTGTTGCATGGTGTGATTTCTTTTAACCAGTCATAGAACTAAATTGAATTGAAATACATCTCCCTTTCAAATATTTTCTTGGAATTTATTAAAAGATATTTATTTTCTTTAATTTTCTTTGCAGTGAAACCAGGTTAAATGAAAAGCATCAATTTGCTTACACTGACAATATTATTTGACTATGGGTTTTTCTCTTCTAGATAATTTTTTTCAGATTTAATATTAATTCAGTAAACCATGGATATTAGGTCAGGTCTAGTGAAACTGAGGTCAGGTCTAGTAAATTTTCCAGCTACTAGTCCGACTGGTCTAGTAAATTTTAAAGTTAATGTTGAGCCCTGCTGTTGGGTTTATATTGTTTTTATACTGTTATGTCCATCTTTCTGTCTTAATATTTAACCTTTAAACACGTTACTTATGAGTGGGTGGGGCGATGGCTTCATATTCCAAAGGTGTATTTCATGTAAGAAGAACTTTATCGGGGTACTATAAAATTTGACCTCTTGACCTTGATATAAGGGTTTGATCCATTTTTACAAAAAAAATCCCTAAACTTTAACCTAGGCTAATAATTTTGAACAGTTAGTGCTATCAGTCTGATACTTCACATTATTTTGTAATCATTGTGACAAGACCACCCAAATGAAAAAAAGGGGGAAACAAAATACTATAACAAACTACTTACAAAACATATGTTTTGAAAGTGTTTTGATAGTATAGCAAATCACATGCAAATGAGCTAACAAAACACTATAACAAGTTACTTTGAAAACACTCTAACAAACTACTAACAAAACGCTGTAACAAAATACTTACGAAACACTCTAACAAACTACTAACAAAACACTGTGTTTTGATAGTATTCCATTAGTATAGAAAATCACATGCAAATGAGGCTAACAAAACACTCTAACAAAATACTAACAAAGCATAAGTAACAAATCATCAATAAACCACTAAATTTGAATTTTTAAAATTATAATTAGCAAATTCACAAGTCTTTGAAAACATACGCGCATCTAAACACAGTCTCATATTGAAACATTATAAACATCTTGTTTCACAGTATTTTGAATTCCAGGTTTGACATTATTGTTCAATAGACAATAGCACACCATTCCAACATTAAAAAACACCAAGTTCGATTCATGATCACTCTCTTATATCAATCATTCTCTGCAGTGAAATCCTTTGGTGTAAGAGATATAATTCTCAATCCATTGACCATTTCTCCATTCACATACATTTTCACAGAATTTTCAAGTATAATTATAATTCATTTAACCCAGTGCTTAAAACTGATCTAAGCTGGGTAGTATATGGATTAAAGGTCGATCAATCTTAAAATGAACAAAAACCCAATAAAAATAGTATAGGCCATATACACATCCACATTCACAGATTGAAGGTTTAACTGTAGTCCAGTTTAAAAGAACTTTATGTCATGCAATAAATAAATACCTCTGTTATATCCAGATTCATCCTGATTTTGCTTTTTCCAATCAGGGATCAATATATATACTAACACTTTACATGTCCCTTCACCAATCTCTTTGTTTCTCTCTGACCTAGTGCTGGTGGTTTGAAAATTGGCGCAAAACTAGTAACACAGGATATAAATAGATAAGTTGTTCTTGGAAGATTTTACTGCTCTTAGATAAGTCAACCCTTAACATGTCTGTTAATCAAATGAAATGCTAACAAAATATTAATTTGATGCAGACAAGTATAATGAAACACTTTCAAAATGCAATTTCATTCTGCAGAGTGTAATGAAACATTAATAAAACACCAACATTGTAATGAAACATTAACAAAATACCATGCCACCCCATCCTGTAAAGTATAGCATTGATGTTTCGTTAAATGCAACACTTTCAAAACATACTAAGAAAATATAAAAGTATGATTTGGTAGTGTTTTGAAGATATTTTGAAAGTATTTTGTTAGATTTCTTTTTCATTTGGGCATTCAATAAGTTTTTTTACCTTAAAATTGGTCTTGACCTAAGAGTTTGACCCACTTTTAAAAAATATAATCTAGGCCATAACTTTTTAACAGTTAATACTAAAATTCTCATATTTCACAGGTTAAATTATTCCTTATGACAAAACCTTCCTTCAGATGCTAACAATTTGACCTTTTGACCTTGACCTTTAAGTTTGCCTTGCATTTCAGTCCTCGCTTTAAGATGTCATATAGGCATATATAAGTGCGTAAACATAGGATAAAATAATATATGTATGTATAAGTTTATTTGCTGAGTACCTAGGAGCAGAAAAAGATGACTGTCAAAGAATTACTGCATTTTTTATATGTCTTCTATAACATCAGAAGCTATTACTGGGTACCCAGGGGCAAAGTAATGTACAATTTTGGAAATGGAACTCTTTAATACTCATTATAAGTATATACTTTAAATGTACTTAGTTTGTTTGCATTCTATCAAGAAGCACTTTTACGATGCAAAATTTGGTTGATAATGGTTCAGTCAGTAATGGATAATTTGTTACTGATGGGACACACAACAACTGATGAAAAAAGAAGCAATAGGTCTAAAAACAAATAACAATAAATTGACACTTGCACCCCTCAAGTGTCCATATTAATGAAATTAAATTTCAATCCTTACCAATGCATAAGAGTCACCTTGAAGTTGGTCTTCTCCTCTGAATCGGTCATTCGGATGGTGATAACCAGAAATTGCCGAGAAGTCAGGTATACCCCTGCAGTCGAGCCTTTATTGGTATTTACTCCACATTCTTCTCTTGTGTCACTAGCTGAAATGTATCATATTATTGAGAATCTCACAAATTTAAGAATTTTTTATAAGCTGGTATTTTTACAATTGTACTTTTTTTTATAAAATGCATTTAAAGTTTCGATCAACAATGCATGAAATCAAAATGAAAAATTTTACGACAAATTTTGACCAAAAACAGGATATGTTTGTGAAACACTGATGCTCCCGTATGACAACATAGCAAAGATTAAACTTTTCTTAAATGCAAATTTAATTAATAGGTACCAAAAGTAGGATATTTTCACTGGAAAGCAATTGTGAAATTTGAAAACAGGCCATTATTAAAGTTTTTTTTTCAATAAGTACAAAAATCTCCAAGGTCAAGTCCTAAAGGCTAAGTTACTAATTGGTATCCAATGAAAGGTCTTGCCACAAAGAATTACTTATGTAGAGTATGGAAGCTCTAGCCCTAACCTTTCAAAAGTTATGGCCAAGGTTAATTTTCTTTTAAAAGTAGGTCAAACTCCATGGTCAAGGTCAAAGGGTCAAAGTTCTTGTTATCAAATAAAAGGTCTTGTCACAAGAATTAAATATATATGTAAAATATGAAAGCACTAGCCCTAACCCTTTGAAAGTAATGGTCAAGGCTTGCTTTTTAAAATAGGTCAAACTCAAAGGTCAAGGTCAAAGGGTCAAAGTGCTTGGTATCCAATGAAGGGTCTTCTCACAAGGATTACATATGTGAAGTATGAAAACCGTATCCCTTACCGTTCAAAAGTTATGGCCAAGGTTCAAGTTTTGCACAGGTACAGAAATCTACAAGGTCAAGGTCAAAGGGTCAAGGTTGTTGGTATCCAGTGAAAGGTCTTTCAATAAAAAATACACATGTGAAGTATAAATGTCCTGGTGTCTACTGTTCAAAAGATATGGCCAAAGTAAAAGTGTAAAATTATCATGTAAAAGTGAGTCAAACTCCAAGGTCAAGAGGTCAAATTTGGTAGTACCCAAAGAAAGGTCTTGTCACAAGGAATACACATGTGAAATATGAAAGTCATGGCTCCAATAAATCAAAAGTTATGGGCAAGGTTAAAGTTTTTGAGGACAAACAGACAGACAGAGAGACAGACAGACAGACGGACACGACAAAAACTATAAACTGTACCCCAACACTTTGTTTACGGGGGCATAAAAAGGGCTAACTTAAGCTTCTGGCTTAGGTGAGAAAAATTCAATGAAATATTCCCAGCTTAGTCATAATTGGTCACGAGATCAAATTCCATAAAGCCCGAAGAGTTTCTATGTAAAACTTTGATTGGCCATTGTGGACCCGCCCTTCCCCTGGGGGTCATGATTTGAATAAACATGAATCTACACTACCTGAGGATGCTTCTCTGTAAGATTCATCTTTCCTGGCACAGTGGTTTTTGAGAAGAAGATTTTTAAATCATACCATCAAATTTTCATTATATCTGAATTATCTCCCCTTTGATATGGCATGGCCCTTCATTTGAACTAACTTGAATCCCCTTCACCTAAAGATACTTTGTGCCAAGTGTGGTTGAATTTGGCCCACTGGTTCTTGAGAAGAAGTCGAAAATGTGAAAAGTTAATGACAACAACAACGACGACAGACAGACAATGGACAAACTTTGATCAGAAAAGCTCACTTGAGCCTTCGGCTCAGGTGAGCTAACAAAAAATATTATAAAAAACTTACATGTACTTTTGACAAATTGGGAAAATTTAGGAGTTAGGACTACTCTGGTACTTGAAATCTGATCCTTGTGATGACAAGTAACTGTGCCTATACAGAGAAACTAAAAAATGTCGGTTCAATAACATTTAGTTCTTTATCTCTTTGTCACTTTATTTAAATTAAAAACATGTATTCTATAAATTAACGAAGATGATATACATGATTTTACATTAAAGAAATGCAAGATAAGCAAATATAAGCTGAATGGTTAAGGTTTTGCTACATGTATACATGTAATAACAAAATTGTTATACACGTAATAACAAAATTGTTATTGATTGTTATACACGTAATAACAAACAATGTATACCACAGGCTCTGCAAAAAATATTTCTCTCTTAGATTTTTTTTTCTTACCTGCTTACATGTATCATATTTATAATCTTTGAGAAGCTATCAGTGTGGTATAATGGAGTGCCGTGCATAGATCTGCTTATAACCAGCAAATTATACCTGTGAGTATAGAATACAACATTTAATAAATATTTTCGAATTAATAAATATTTTGTAAATATATGTACAGTACGACTCATTTTAGGGAAGTGACTAGGACTTTCTGTCTTGCATTCCAGATGTAATTAAGCCTCTTTATATCTGCATACATTTTGGAATGCACATTCACAGGTACTTGTGGACAGGACAGTGGGGTATTTTTTTTTTTTGTTGAGGGGTGGAAGGATTTTTTCAAAGGGGGGGGGATTATAATGTACATTTTACACCTGCATGTAGTTAAATAACTCAATAGGATACCGGGTGGGGTATGGTTTTTAAAGGAGGAGGTTGATATAAATCTAGGAAAAAATATTTGTATGGATTACCTGAAAAGTTTTTGAAAAAGAAAGGAAAATATTGATCTCAGAACCTGAGAATCCTATCCTACAACATTAGCTTTTCACTGCACATTTTCTATGGTAAAAACACAAACAAACAAAAATTTGGAACTTAATTCTTCTTATTCCTTTTTTTTTTTTTTTTTTTTTTTGCAAATCCAAAAGGGAGGGTTGCAATTTACCACCGTAGTTAGAATAATCTTAAGCCCTCACCGGGTACGTAGGACATTAATTTTTATCATTTTAATGATAGAACATCAACATTCCATCTACAACCCCCCCCCCCCCCCACCCCAAATGCTACGTGCGTTATTTGATTGCTACAGTTTAATTTTATATACTAGATCCCAATGCAACAGGAATTAAAAACACATTAAAACATTAGGCCTATCAATAGGCCAATAATATTGTAAGAAAAGCAGAGAACCTGTACTAGGCCCATCTTTCATTTTCAACACATAACGTTATGCGTTACCATAGATAATGTTAGATCCACTTGAATCTCATATCTGTTATTAAGCTGTCAACAAATATTCCCAAATAAAGTTATTACATCCGTCTGATATAAAAAGAAAATGAGAATCTTACAAACTTACAGAAAATATGGAGTTGAAAACATTTTGCTCTTTCTTTCTTTCTGCTTTCTAAGTCGCATGATGACGTAATTTGTGACGTACGGCATTCCATAAAAGAACTAGCTTTGGTTCCATAAAGTAAATTTATATCACTTAGTCATCTGCGTTCGTCTTTGAAGTGGAGATGCATTTTTAAGATAAAAATTTGAACGACTAATATTACAAAGATTAAGGTATTTCCCGATTCCTGGATGAATGCGAAACTGATTAGCCAGGTTCTACTTGCACTTCCTGTTACAGAAAAAAAAAATCCGATTCAGCAAGAGCTCCTTTCTATGGTTTGTTCTAGACTTTCCTTTTGGCTGATTGTGATATACTTCTTTGAAACAATGGTAAATATGTATGCTTTGTTGATTTTTTGTCATATTTTGTGGTTATAATGCACATTTTTATTGATAATTCAACTTGCAACGAAATCTTTCAGAGTAAATTCGGATTGCATTCTCATTTCAGGTTCTACGTAACGCAGTCAGGTGAATCGACTGGTCCTTTTTATGCTTAGTGACATCTATTTGAAGGTTTACTAAATTTTGAGTAAGTAATTTAAGGTTATTTTTATTTAAACTAATTGTCATTACAAGTTTCTACATATGTGTCAGAACACAACACACAGACAGTGTTTTTGTTCTGACACATGTAAACACAACTTTTATAGACCAAGTGTATCCCATTAAATGATTTAGACATAGGTCAAACAAAAGGTTCAATCTTCTAGGGGATTAATTTGAGGTCCATGCAAAAAAAGAGTAACTATATATTGCATTTGATTTATTCACAGTTGAGGTATTCTAATTATTCTGTGCAGATTTTAAAAAAATCAATCTTTTCAGTATTTTACTGTTGTCTGTAAAATATTAAAAATTCATCAATTACATGTTTATTGTCATCCAATTGGAACATCACAATTAAAATGAAAATTTTTATCTCATTTATGGTTCAATAGCAGCCCGATATATAGAGTCGCTAGGTCAATAACACACTGTATGGTGTCTGACAAATCCCTTTAAAGTCTAATATGCAGTTATGAATCTGTTAAACACATGGTCTTTTCTGTTTCGCTCTAAACATATACATGTAGTACCATTTAACATACCGGTACTCAGTAATTCAAGTTGCCAAAACATGGACTTTTCAAGTGATATCATTGAATTTATTGTATTTAATGTCATCCTAATCTAGGAATTGGTCCCTTTGACCTAAACAATTGGAATATTAGTATGGGTAATAGTATTTTATAATAATTAATATAATAATTAAATAATTAATTAATTAATAATCTTTGCAGGAAACACTTGTCAGGACACAAGACTGAAAGAAAGACGTACTGAAAAACTGCCTGTAAGCACAACAATCATTAAAGTCAATGGATTACCCAGGAACATCCAAGCAATATGATATCAGAGACTGGCAATTTTTATCACTTGATGTGGCAGAAAAACCTAAATAAAAATTGAAATGTTCAATTTCTTTGTTCATTGCTTTTCTCTTGTGTATATGAATATCGCATAATATTTATGCGAATTTCGCATGATTTTTACATGAAAAACTGATAATTTGGAATTTGCATGAATATCATGCAAAATTTCAGTCACATGAAAATCGCATGAATTTCGCATAAATATTATATGAGGACATTCGCATGAAATTCGCATGTGGAACTTTTCGCATGGTTTTTATATGATTTTCGCACGAAATTCATGCGAAAAGGCTATCGCATGAAAATCATGCGAGCCACTTTTCCCTGTGTACGTAATAGTAAAAACCAAAATAAAAATGCATCAAATATAAAATAATAAGATGTACAAAGACACAAACTTTAAGCATTGTCGAAAAAGTCTTACTCTTTCCAAACATTTTAATTCACCGTCACTTGCTGCAGGAACACCCCCCCCCCCTCCATTGTCTATCAATAATGTCCACAAATTCGGCAAGTTCATAGTACTCTCATTCCATATCCTAGGCTCTTTTCTCATTTGGTAAAATTGGAATAGAAACCTGTCCTTTGTTTCGTAGATAGTTGAGAGCTACTACAAAATGTTTTGGGTCCCTGTACAAGAAAGACGTCGGAATTATTCCGTTAAAAGATTTAAATGATATTACTCTTTAAACAATCACTTCATAATAGTGGATAATAACTATTTACAGTAATATACATGTATATTTAGCTACATACCAAACTATGGTATGAATCCATTTCTATTGTATTTCATCTATTATATAAAGTATATGTCTTGTAGGATTTTCTACAATTCATAAATAATATTCATACACTATATATCACTTGTGTCAATATTTTAACTATATTCTGAGTATGAAACCAGATTTAGAAATTTAATTTTAATCCTAAGGAGGGGCATTTCTAGGTCATATGTCGCTCCTCTGGTATTGGGTGGTTGAGCTGATTTACCGGTTTACAGCCTCAGTTTAATGTAATAGGCATACTCAGCATCATAGAGAATGTAAGCCTTTAATCCATCATGGGTTGAAAACGTTATGTTCCAGGCAAGCTGTTGATACCCAGCATTCATATATTTTTATGGAACACTTTAGTTCCATCTAGACCCAAGAATCACGAATCCTCGATCGTTGGTGTTTATTGTATTCAAGCTGTATCCTTTAATGGAATTCCCGCACATTACATTACATTACATAATTATAAGTATGTTACACTTATTATTGAGATGAGGATACTGTCCACCCATGTCTAATCTGTGCGTGTGTGCATTTGATCACCTTTCCTCACCAGACGTTTAGTGGCATATCGGCGTTTTCTCTAAGAATTAGTTCCACTGCCCCTTTCTTGGAACTTCCCTATTTAGCTTGCTTGTTTATCCTAGATTTCCATTGATCGAGTGTCCAGTATACGTGTACGCCCTCAGTGCGCCTTGATCCGCATCATTAATTATTTGTAATTTTAATTTTCAGAAATATTACCAACTCTGCATGAAACAGATAGAAGACAACTGACTTTGCTGAAACGTATCTACAATTACTCGCGGCGCAGTGGTTAGAGTGTCTGCTTTGAAGTCGTAAAATGTGCCCGCTAATTTGTTCGAATTCTCGCTATATCTGATATCCTAAGTTTAGAAGGTGACCTGAATCATTTTAGTTTGATCAAGTTTGTTTACGTCTGTGAATGAAAAAAGAATTGGCGAATGCATTAACCTCCCACGTGTCGTCTTAGATGGCGAATGCATTAACCTTCCACGTGTCGTCTTAGATGGTGAATGCAAACACTGCCAATGCTCGCTGAAACGACTCATTAAAAAAAATTAATTGAGGGAAATCTGTAAATTGGCTTTCCCTTGGTGTTATATTTTCCAGCCTATTTGTAAATTTATTCAATACAAGTTTCAAGATAAACATAATTAATTAACCTTTGTATAGAGAAAAAAATTAGTTTCATCAGTACCAAGACTTTGTAGACATCAGTATAACCTGATTACTTTATACATGTTTTGGCCTTTGGTTTTTTTTTCAGAACGTCTGAATTGTTTTCTCCAGCCGGTGAATATCAAACCAAGCAATGATAACAATTCTTTTTGGTTTGTTTTATTTTAAAACAGGAACGCAATCTTTCCCCTCAAGACTTAAAACAACCTAACACTCGTAAAGAAAACAGTGTACAACAACAGTTAAAAGTAACTCACTATCTTTGATGTCTGCAAAAGATCAACTCTAAAAGAGTCAACTAGTTCGCAAAGCTCTACCAATTCCTTTAAGCCCGTGTTTTCTCTACTCTTATTTTGTGTTGTTTCGACCTTGGAATACTGTTTATTATCTCCATATGATTCATTACAGGGATCCTTCATATGCTGACATCTTTCTGAATGTCACCCGAGTACATTTGATGGTACATCAATGCCGTCTGATGTAGTGTTAAGGTGTGGACAGGTGACGGAGGGAAATATTCTTGAGACACGGTGGTATACTGTAATGACACCGGGCTATTTGTTGGTCGAATCTTGATACCAATGTTGACAGAGAGACGGACGGTTGAGGCTAGGGTAAAAGTTGACCGCGTTGTCTTGGCCTGCGAACTGAATTCGGATGACGTCAAGCTGAATTTTGACAACACCAGACTATAAACTACACCCTCCTGCCCTTAGGGTGAAGAAATACCAAATGTGTAGCGTTGCCTAAAGGCTTCGAATTAGTGGCACAGAGCATTGTCGGCATTCCAATATTGTTTCCCTCTGTTTCCTTTACAGATAAATGACACACTATGCAGTCTCGCTTTGGATTCTCTCTTTTTAATTTGCCCCTCCTATAGGTTTGATGGTTTGGATGAAATGCCTGCTAATGGGCCCATTTATATCATCTGATTTTCTGCTACCTCTAGATTGGCTAGGGGCATTTGCCGCTGATTCCTAAAGCGATCTTACAAGTTTTACTTTAAAGTCAAGTTCAGACTTTTTGTTGATATTTTCACCATACTTTCTGTAAAGAATGTAAGCATTCACCACGAGAATATTAAAGAGACCAAGAAGGAGGTTTTTTTCATTATTTCTAAACACTATTTTAATAGAGATTAATAGAAAAACTTTCTAGTTCTCAAGAACCACTAGGCCAGAAAAGCTGAAACTAATGTGGAAGCATCCTGGGGTAGTGTAGATTCTAAATTATTCAAATCATGATCCCCAGGGGAAGGATAGGGTCACAAAAATCATGAACTAGAACCATTATCCTTGTAAACAACAGATTATTATAATGACGCATACTACAGTTTTCTTTATGAATAAAAGAAGAGGGGTGTTACAAGTGTGTCTTTAAATAGAACAAGAGGCCCATGGGCCTTATAGGTAACCTGAGTATTCTGTAACAACTTTCTAACAATGAACTTTGGTTCGTGTTTTAAACCAGAGGCCATGAAATTCCCAATTTTGAAAGAGGCGCCATTGCTTATCATAATTATAAACTTAGCAGGTTTCTGATTTTGTAGCAACACTTGCTACCGTTTCATTTATTTTAAATAAAGATATTTTTCATACCTTCATTGCAAAGTCTGATCTTCATGTGGCGGATTCGGGAATTACCGTAATAAAAAAAAAGACGGAAAGGGTTTACACGCACACATACCCTCAAGCAAAAAAAAAAAAAAAAACAAAATCAATAATATCACGTGACATAGCAATTGAGCCACACGTTTGTTAGCCGGGCTTATTGCT